TTATAAGTGTATAAATGAATACATAGATATGAACCAACTGAGATAGATAGATAGATAGATAGATAGATAGATAGATAGATAGATAGATAGATAGATAGATATGAACAGGCTGAGATAGATAGATAGATAGATAGATATGAACAGACTAATAATAAGACAGATAATGAGCAAACTGAATTGGAGAAAGATATATGAACAGAATGAGATAGACAGAGAGATAGATAGATACATACATACATACATGCATACATAACTAGATAGATAGATAGATAGATAGATAGATAGATAGATAGATAAGAAAAGGCTAAGATAAATAGGAACAGACCAAGATAGATAGATAGATAGATAGATAGATAGATAGATAGATAGATAAGAAAAGGCTAAGTTAAATAGGAACAGACCAAGATAGATAGATAGATAGATAGATAGATAGATAGATAGATAGATAGATAGATAAGAAAAGGCTAAGATAAATAGGAACAGACCAAGATAGATAGATAGATAGATAGATAGATAGATAGATAGATAGATAGATAGATAGATAGATAGATAAGAAAAGGCTAAGATAAATAGGAACAGACCAAGATAGATAGATAGATAGATAGATAGATAGATAGATAGATAGATAGATAGGAAAAGGCTAAGATAAATAGGAACAGACCAAGATAGATAGATAGATAGATAGATAGATAGATAGATAGATAGATAGATAGATAGATATTATATTATAATAAGTAGATATATATATAGATGAACAGACTATAATAAATAGATAGATAAGAACTGGCTATAATAGATAGATAGATAGATAGATAGATAGATAGATAGATAGATAGATAGATAGATATGAACAGAGTGAGATAGGTAGATATAAACAGAATTAAATGAGTTAAAAATAAGATATGAACATAGATATATACAGACTGAGATAGATAGATAGATAGATAGATAGATAGATATGAACACACTATAATAGATAGATAGATAGATAGATAGATATGAACACACTATAATATAGATAGATAGATAGATAGATAGATAGATAGATAGATAGATAGATAGATATGAACACACTATAAGAGATAGATATGAACACACTATAATAGATAGATAGATAGAAAGAGAGAGATATATGAACAGAGTGAGATAGGTAGATATAAACAGAATAAAATGAGTTAAAAATAAGATATGAACATAGAGAGATATAAACAGACTGAGATAGATAGATAGATAGATAGATGGATAGATAGATAGATAGATAGAAAGAGAGAGATATGAACAGACTATAATAGATAGATAGATAGATAGATAGATAGATAGATAGATAGATATTAACAGAGTGAGATAGGTAGATATAAACAGAGTTAAATGAGTTAAAAATAAGATATGAACATAGATATATACAGACTGAGATAGATAGATAGATAGATAGATAGATAGATAGATAGATAGATATGAACAGACTATAATAGATAGATAGATAGATAGATAGATAGATAGATAGATAGATGCATTTATATCTACGTGTGTTCAAATAAACTGCAACAGACTGCATTAACGCGTGTGCAGCGGTCATTGTACGATCTCATCTTTGATTTATTTGTTTGTCTTCTATCGACATATATTATTCTTTCGTAGACATTTTTTGTGAACCTCTTGAATACGGCCTCTTGATTAGTCGGCCCTACAATGGCATGACCTTTTCTATGTTTGGATTTTAACCCTGAAATGCAACAAGAGAGAATTAACCTGAAGAAGGTTGAGGAAATGTCAAAAGAAAGAAGTCATGTATTGAAAAGATTGAAAAAAGAAAGAAATTGCAAAAAAAAAGAAAGAAAAAAAAAGAAAGAAAGAAAGAAACAATATAACTTGAAGGAAAAAAAAAAAGATAATTGAATTGTTTAATCAAAATTAGAAAAAAGAAAGAAAGAAAGAAAGAAAGAAAGAATATAAATAGGAAGAAAAAAAAAAAAGATAATTGAATTGAAAAGAAAAAAATGAAAGAAAAAGAAAAGAAAGAAACTTTTCCTTGAAAGAAAAAAAAGAAAAGAAAGAATGAAAAAAGTATATTAAAATAAATGAAACTAAAAAAAAACAATTGAATGGAAAAAGAAAGGAAATTGCAAAAAAAAAATCAAAAAAAAAAAACAAAAAGAAAATAAGTAATTTCAAAAAAGTTTAATAAAGAAAAAAGAGAGAAACAAACAAACAAAAAAAAGTAGATAAAAGAAAAAAACGAAGTTCGTAAATTGGAAAAGGAGAAGGAAGAAAAGAAAATGAAAGACAAAAAGATAAACATTGGTCAAAAGTTGACAAAAAAAAAAAAAAAGAGAAAAAATAAAAAGCATGAAAATAAAAAAAAAAAAGGAACAATCTAAATCATCAATTGAAAAACTGATGAAAGAGAAAGTTAGAAAAAAAAAGAAAGGAATAAATAAGGAATGAATGAATGAAAGGAAGAAAAAAGACAGATGAAAGATAAAGAAAAAGAAACAAAGAAAGAATAAATGAAAATCCTCAATCGTGCCAAAGAAGGAAAAAGAAAGAAAGAAAATATGAATAAAAAAGAAAGAAAATATGAAACACGTGAAAGAAAGACATTATAATATATCGAAAGAAAGACAGAATAAAAGGAAAGAAAGAATAAAAGGAAAGAAAGAATAAAGGGAAAGAAAGATAAGTCAAGAAAGAAAGAATGATTAATAAGTCGAAAACAGAACAAAGAAAGAAAGAAAAAAAGAAAGACAGGGAAGGGTAATAAATTTAAAAAAGAAAGGAATTAAAGATATTAATTTAAGAAAGAAAGAAAAGAAAAAAATCAAATAATATATGAATAATATTGTAAAAGAATCAAATACATGGATAATACATCGAAAGACATGAGGCCAAAGAAAGAAAGAAGAAAAAAAGGAAAGAAAAAACATTAAAGAGAGAAAAATGCAAGAAAGAAAGAAAGAAAGAAAATAAGAAACAAGTGAATAAATTTTTGAAAAAAAAATTTTAATAAAGAAACAAAAAAAAAAAAAAAAAAGAAAGACAGAAAAACCAAACGAAAGATATTGTTCATAAAAAGGAAAATGAAATGAAGGCCAAAAAAAAAAATGAAATTTTAAAAAGAAGATGAAAACGGAAGAAAATGTAAACGGAAGAAAAATGAATAAGAAACAAAATGAAAAAGAAAGAAAATGAAAAAAAAAAAAAAACCTCTTTTAAAAACGAAAAAAGAAAGAAAAATTGAATCTGAAAAAATATTTGAAAAAAAAAAATGAAAAAAAAGAAAATGAAAAAAAAAAAAAAAAAAAAAAAGAAAAAGAAAAAGAAAGAAAAAAAAAAAAAAAACGAAAAAAAAAAAATGAAAAAAAAAAAAGAAAAAACGGAAAAAAATGAAAAGAAAAGAAAAAAAAAAAAAAAAAAAAAAAAGAAATGAAAAATTTTTTTTAAAAAAAAAAATCTGAAAAAAAAGCTAAAAAATGAAAAAAAAAAAAAAAAAAAAAAAAAAAAAAAAAAAAAGAAAATGAAAAAAAATAAAAAAAAAAAAATGAAAAAAAGGAAAAGAATGTGAAAATGGGGGTCAGCAAAAAAAAGAAAAAAAAAATTCTTTCTTCTTCTTTTTTTTTCTCAAAATTTTTCTTCTTCTTCTTCTTGTTTCTTCTTCCCTCCTCCTCCTCTGTTCTTCTTTCCTTCTTCTTCTTCTTCTTCTTCTTTTTCTTTTGTACCGTATTCCTTCAGGATGTTAGCCATCATGGCTCGACATGTTCTCATTTTATGCATGTTTCCTTTTTGTTTCCATTTTCTCTCAAAAAACCTCATTCGTTGTTCACATGTTCGGTCCATGGTATCCTCAGCATCCTTCTGTAGAAATTTCAACTGTTTCATTCCTGATGTTAAAGTATATATTTTCCTTTTTGTTTCCATTTTCTAAAAACCTCGTCGTTGCTCACATGTTCAGTCTATGGTATCCTCAGCATCCTTCTGTAGAAATTTCAACTGTTCTTCCTGATGTTAAGTATAAGTTTCCTTTTGTTTCCATTTTTAAAAAAAAACCTCGTCGTTGCTCACATGTTCGGTCCATGATATCCTAGAAGCATCCTTCTGTTGAAATTTCATCTGTCTCTTCCTGATGTTAAGTATAAGTTTCCTTTTTGTTTTATTTTTTCTCTAAAACCTCGTCGTTGTATCACATGTTCGGTCCATGATATCCTCAGCATCCTTCTGTTGAAATTTCATCTGTCTCTTCCTGATGTTAAGTATAAGTTTCCTTTTGTTTCCATTTTTCTAAAAACTTTCGTCGTTGCTCACATGTTCGGTCCATGGTATCCTCAGCATCCTTCTGTAGAAATTTCAACTGTCTCTTCCTGATGTTAAGTATAAGTTTCCTTTTTGTTTCCATTTTCTCTAAAACCTCGTCGTTGCTCACATGTTCGGTCCATGATATCCTCAGCATCCTTCTGTTGAAATTTCAACTGTCTCTTCCTGATGTTAAGTATAAGTTTCCTTTTTGTTTCCATTTTCTCTAAAACCTCGTCGTTGCTCACATGTTCGGTCCATGGTATCCTCAGCATCCTTCTGTAGAAATTTCAACTGTCTCTTCCTGATGTTAAGTATAAGTTTTTTTTTTGTTTCCATTTTCTCTAAAAACCTCGTCGTTGCTCACATATTCGGTCCATGGTATCCTCAGCATCCTTCTGTAGAAATTTCAACTGTCTCTTCCTGATGTTAAGTATAAGTTTCCTTTTTTGTTTCCATTTTCTCTAAAAACCTCGTCGTTGCTCACATATTCGGTCCATGGTATCCTCAGCATCCTTCTGTAGAAATTTCAACTGTCTCTTCCTGATGTTAAGTATAAGTTTCCTTTTTGTTTCCATTTTCTCTAAAACCTCGTCGTTGCTCATATGTTCGGTCCATGGTATCCTCAGCATCCTTCTGTAGAAATTTCAACTGTCTCTTCCTGATGTTAAGTATAAGTTTCCTTTTTTTGTTTCCATTTTCTCTAAAACCTCGTCGTTGCTCACATGTTCGGTCCATGGTATCCTCAGCATCCTTCTGTAGAAATTTCAACTGTCTCTTCCTGATGTTAAGTATAAGTTTTAAAATTTTTTTGTTTCCATTTTCTCTAAAACCTCGTCGTTGCTCACATGTTCGGTCCATGATATCCTCAGCATCCTTCTGTTGAAATTTCAACTGTCTCTTCCTGATGTTAAGTATAAGTTTCCTTTTTGTTTCCATTTTCTCTAAAACCTCGTCGTTGCTCACATGTTCGGTCCATGGTATCCTCAGCATCCTTCTGTAGAAATTTCAACTGTCTCTTCCTGATGTTAAGTATAAGTTTCCTTTTTGTTTCCATTTTTCTCTAAAACCTCGTCATTGCTCACATGTTCGGTCCATGGTATCCTCAGCATCCTTCTGTAGAAATTTCAACTGTCTCTTCCTGATGTTAAGTATAAGTTTCCTTTTTGTTTCCATTTTCTCTAAAACCTCGTCGTTGCTCACATGTTCGGTCCATGATATCCTCAGCATCCTTCTGTTGAAATTTCAACTGTCTCTTCCTGATGTTAAGTATAAGTTTCCTTTTTGTTTCCATTTTCTCTAAAACCTCGTCGTTGCTCACATGTTCGGTCCATGGTATCCTCAGCATCCTTCTGTAGAAATTTCAACTGTCTCTTCCTGATGTTAAGTATAAGTTTCCTTTTTGTTTCCATTTTCTCTAAAACCTCGTCGTTGCTCACATGTTCGGTCCATGGTATCCTCAGCATCCTTCTGTAGAAATTTCAACTGTCTCTTCCTGATGTTAAGTATAAGTTTCCTTTTTTTTTCCATTTTTTTTAAAACCTCGTCGTTGCTCACATGTTCGGTCCATGGTATCCTCAGCATCCTTCTGTAGAAATTTCAACTGTCTCTTCCTTTTATTAAGTATAAGTTTCCTTTTCGTTTTCCATTTTCTCTAAAACATAATCGGTCCATGGTATCATCAGCATCCTTCTGAAGAAATTTCAACTCTCTGTTCCTGACGTTAAGTAAAATTTTCCTTTTTGTTTCCATTTTCTCTAAAACCTCGTCATTGCTCATATGTTCGGTCTATGGTATCCTCAGCATCCTTCTGTAGAAATTCAACTGTCTTTGTCGATATTTTCCTGTTTCTAATTATTTTGCTTAGGTTTTGGAATGTTTTTTTTTTTTTTCTATTGCAATGTGTGTTCGGATTTCGGTTGCACATTTCTCCAACCTTGTATTAGTTTGCTTTTTATATCTCCTATTCGGGACTCCAGTCTTGTGCCTTTTGTCTTGCTGGCAATTATGCATTCTGTTTTCTTCCATTTGCTTTTGAATCGCTGCAGGTTGCTTTCCATTTAATATCTCGTCTAGAACCAATGCTTCACAAACTCTCTGATGTGTCGTAGCGGCAGTTTTTTTTTCTTTTCACTGTGCGAGGGACCGTCGAGCGAAACTTTTTAATCCAAATTTCCGGGGGTACTGCACTACACACCAACCTTGCTGTATTCTCTTTCCATAAAACGATTTATTTTATAGTGGATATAGCGTGACTGGTGGCCGAGAAACTTTGTTATCTTGGCAATA